TCGATCGCTCTCTCCGAACCTGTCTTCCTCCGAACGATCCTCTCCTCCCATGTTCACTTTCTCGTATCGCCTCTCGTCCACGCGCTCTCTTCCTTTGACGATGCTCCCATTGCTTTTCAGATTATGGATACAATCTCTCTTCTCTACTCCGCCGAGAGATCTTCCATCGGCGAGGATTTTGTGGAGAGAATCTCCGCTCAGCTCTCTTCCGGTGCTTTGGGTTGGAGCAGAAGACAGCTTCATATGGTATGTTTGCCTTCGATTTTATTTCACTTCTATTGAGGATTCTCGTTTAGATTTTCATGGAAGAAGTATCACGGATATTGTCAATCGATCTAATTAGATTTAGATCTGCAACTGCGACTTGTTTAAGAATGAAGAAGCTTGTTGCAGTCACTGAATTTTCCTGCTAATATTTCTCTGAAATCTCTCAATGTCTGTGTATACTTCTGCTGGGGATTCTATGAAATTTTCATGGAAGAAGTATCTCTGATTTTGTTTATCCATCAAATTCAGATCTTCAACTGGACCGTGGAGAAGATTGTTGCAATTTTCATACTAAAACTTTCTCTGAATTCTTTTATAAATTGCTCAATGTCTGTGATTTCAGCTCCATTGCTTTGGCGTTCTGATGAGCTGTGAGAATATAGACATCAATTCTCATATCAAAGATAAAGAATCTCTTGTTTGCCAACTCGTTGAAGGTCTTCAATTACCGAGGTATTGTGCATAATCTCTCGTTCTTCCTATCTTGTGTGGGGCATGTTGTGATTTATCCTGTTTGTTATCTTCTCTCATACTAGCGAGGAGATCCGCGGTGAAATCCTTTTCGTTCTGTACAAATTTTCTGCTCTACAATTCACAGAACAAAATGTTGATGGCATCGAGGTTCTCTCTTCATTGTGTCATAAGCTGCTGTGCCTATCATTGGAAGCTCTTGCAAAGACACAGAGAGATGATGTTCGCTTGAATTGTGTAGGTGCGTATGATCTTTCATCTATCTGTTTCATTGCTCCAATTTTTCTGCCTGGTGCACCATATCAAAAATTGAAATGCCTTTCATACAGTAGAACGTTCTCAGTCTGAGGCTACCATACGTTTTGCTACATTTCAGCTAACATCAATATTTTGAACTGTGTAGCTCTTTTGACCATCTTCGCCCAGCAAGGTCTTTTAGCAAGTTCACATACAAGTCCTGTTAGCAGCATGAGCTTGGATGAAGTGGATGATGACCCTATGCAGACCGCTGAGACTGTTGTTGCCAGGCCTTGTTTAGATGTCTTATTTGCTGAGGCCATTAAAGGTCCATTGCTTTCCACTGACAGCGAGGTGCAAATACGAACCGTTGATCTTATCTTCCATTACGTGTCCCAAGAGAGTATTCCAAGCAAACAGATTCAAGTTCTGGTAGAAGAAAATGTTGCTGACTATATATTTGAGATACTGCGGTTATCAGGTAATGGTAGTCTCCTTGAATAACTGAATTATATTTGTGATAAGAACTTTTATCTTGATGCATTGGACTTCGATTAACGTGTCATGTTCATAAAGAGCATGAGCAGATCTTGAAATTGAGAAATGAAGTTACTTTCTTCACATTCTGATGTCAAATGCATATTTCATTGTTTCCTACACAAGATAACAACTTACTGAACTAGTCTTCATCCTTTTCATGAACAGAATGTAAAGATCGGGTCATCAACTCATGCCTCAGGGTTCTTGATCTATTCTCCCTAGCCGAACATTCCTTTCGGAAGAAACTTGTTATTGGGTTTCCTTCAGTCATCCAAGTGCTTCACTATGTAGGCGAAGTTCCTTACCATCCTTTTCAAATCCAGACACTGAAGCTTATTTCGAGCTGTATCTCTGATTTTCCAGGGATTGCTTCAAGTTCTCAAGTTCATGAAATTGCTCTGGTTCTGAAAAGGATGCTAGAAAGGTATTATTCTCATGAGATGGGATTATTTCCGGATGCATTTGCGATGATCTGTTCGGTCTTTGTTTCCCTAATGAAAACTCCATCTTTTGCTGAGACTCCAGATGTGTTATCATCATTGCAAGAATCCCTGAGACATGCCATTCTGGCCTGCCTTAGTCTCCCTGAGAAAGATTCAACCCAGATCTCGCATGCAGTCTACTTACTCAATGAAGTATATGCATATTGTTCTGCACCAACATCCATAAACAAGACCAGTTGCATTGAGTTAAGACACTGTGTGATAGACATGTGTGTATCACATCTATTGCCGTGGTTCCTCGCTAATGTCAACGAAATTAATGAGGAGGCAGCTCTAGGGATAATGGAAACCTTTCATTCTGTTCTGCTTCAGAATTCAGATATCCAAGTCGTGGAGTTTGCAGAGATACTCGTTTCATCAGATTGGTTCAGCTTTTCATTCGGATGCCTAGGAAACTTTTCTACTGATACGATGAGACAGAGGGTATATTTGATGCTAAGTTCCCTTGTAGATGTTCTCCAAAAACATAAAACGGGGTCACATATCAGAGATGCTCTTCCCTGTCTTCCTTCTGATCCACAAGATCTGCTGTTTTTGCTCGGGCAAGATAGTTCCAATAATCAAGAGTTGGCTTCTTGCCAGTTGGCAGCTCTGTTGATTTTCCATAATAGTTGGATATACAATGACAGGTGACTTAGTCTTTCTGACTTTCAATGATGTTTTTGATGGACGCACATGATAAGCTGGTGTCTTATATTATTTTGCATCTTTTGCAGGCTTGCAGATGATAAGCTGGTTTTAGCTTCTTTGGAGCAATACATTCTTGTGAACAGGACAAGTCTAATACGTACGATCTCTGATTCTCCAGCTCTGCTGTATCTAGTGAATCTATATGGTCTTTGCAGGAGTCTTCAAAACAAGAGATACCAGGTATCCTACAGTCTAGAAGCTGAGAGGATAGTCTTCCATCTTCTAAATGAATATGGGTGGGACTTGGGCTCCATTGATATTCATCTAGAATCTCTGAAGTGGCTTTTTCAACAAGAACATATCAGCAAAAGTTTAACTTACCAGATCCAAAACATTTCCCGGAACAACTTAATTGGAAATGAAGTGCACAACGTATACGGAGATGGCAGACAGAGATCGCTCACACATTGGTTCGCAAAGTTGATATCAGAAGGAGACAACTATGCCGCAACTCTCTTGGTTAACTTGCTGTCACAGCTAGCAGAGAAAGAAGAGCAAGAGGATGATGTTATCTCGATTTTAAATCTGATGACGACGGTCGTCTCTATATCCCCAACGGCCTCCAACCAGTTATCCATGCATGGCACCGGCAACGCAATTCATAGACTCGTTTGTGGTTTTAGTAACTCATCTCTCGGAACATCATCTTTCACAACACTACTTCTGCTACTATTCAACATTTTAGCTTCTGTGCAACCTGGAGTGCTAAAAAATGAGGAATCCTGGGATGCTGTATTTATAAAGGTGTGCCCGTTTATCCCTTCTCTCAACCAACATTGTCATTTTTTCGAATATCTCACTGAATCCTCTTTCTTTTGCAGTTGTTAAACTATTTGAGCTTGCGAGACACTGACATAACACAGAACCATGAAGGAACGATGGTGATTGGCATTCTTTCTTTGGTTCTGCACCACTCATCAGAGGGAGCACTTGTGGAAGCTTCAAGAAGCATTGTATTAAACTCGTACTTGGTATCAGCAATCAACACTGTGGTTGATGTAGCTTGCTCAAAGGGTCCAGCATTAACTCAGTATCAGGATGAAACTAACATCGAGGAGGCTCTAGCTTTCACGTTACCTCTCTACTTTTTCTCATTAAGAAGGTAACTTCTGAAATTTTGCTTAACACTGCTAAATCCTACTTATAACCGTTCTGACTCACTATTTATCCATCATTAGCTTGCAGATTGTTCTAGCTGGATCAGTGGATTGGCAAAATTTCTTCGGCTCATCGGGAAACCTGGAAACACTGCCCGTACTCTGCATCCATTGCCATAATTTATGCAGGTTGATGCATTTCGGAACACCACAAATCAAGCTCATCGCCTCTTATTGTCTCTTGGAGCTGTTCACTGGACTATCAGAACAGATTGACACTAAAAAGGAGCAGCTACGGTGTTCGTCGATTTACCTGAAATCAGTAAAGGCTGTATTAGGTGGTCTTGTGTTCTACGATGACATAAGAGTAGCGACAAACTCTGCGCTTTGTCTATCCATGATTCTAAGATTGGAAGACATGGAAGGAAGAACGGAGATGCTTAATACCAGCTCATGGTACAGGTTCGTTGCAGAAGAAATGTCAGTGTCCTTAGCCATGCCGTGTTCAGCATCGAGTACCTTTGTGAACCACCACAAGCCGGCGGTTTATGTGACCGTTGCCATGCTAAGACTCAGGAACAAACCGGTGTGGGTGAAAACTGTTTTTGACGAGTCTTGCATCTCTACCATGATTCAGAACCTGAACGGGACGAATATCAGCAGAGAGATTGTAATTTTGTTTCGAGAACTGATGCAAACTCAGCTTTTGAACTCTGAGCAAGTAGCCAAGTTAAATCATGTATTCCAGGTTAGTAACGCAGATCATATTACTTATAAGATTTCGATACATCAAATCCATTTCATAACATTCTCATTGATCATGCAGGCAAGCAGAAAACAAATGCAGAGAAATGGAACTTTAGATGAAACCGTTGAAGAAGAACAAGTGCAACGGGCAATTTCCTCAATCCATGATCATGGCGAAGTCTGCAACTATCTTGTTTATCTGATGGTATCTAATTCGTTCCCACACACAAGTGCAAGTGAAACATACACACAGACGAAGAAACAGGTTCTCGATGAAATGGAACAATTCTCCAAGCTATTATCAACAAGAGAGAATGGTATTACTGATACAACACCGTGTATGGTCTATACAAGACAGAAGAGATACAAGACAAACGCAAACAGAGAGGTATCCTGAAGAAGAAGAAGAAGAAGAAGAAGGGATGACGTGGCGGTGTGGTTACAGTTGTTAGTCTCTAGATACATTATAAGCTTCAGTTTTCTGATTCTTAACCACAAGTTCCATTAGACTCTGGTAACTCCATGACTTTCCAAGAGACTGAATCTTCATCTTTTCACAGCTTCTAAGAAACTGTCCTTTCCCAAAAGCAGCATGAACTAAAAGATCAGTCTTCATCTCCACAGGCTTATCGAGAAACCCAATCTTTTTCCAAGCCATGAAAACTTCAGTACCATCGAACCCAGTTTCGCTCAAGTCGAAGACGATTCCTACAGTCACAAGATCAAGCTTCACACGTTTCGTCCTTAGATCGGAGAGAAACAGTTCGATGCTCTTGAAATCCCCAATCTTTGCGTAAGCTAAAAGAACGATATTAGCAAAAGTCGTATTCCAAGAAACTCTAGCTTCTTCCATCTCTTTAACAACATAATCCAAACCTTTTCGACTCACAAGACACGCATGGCACAGAAGCCTCAGAGACCAAGCCAGATCGTTCCTACGAATGCCACGACCCAAATCGTCGAGTCTCGAGAACATGAGGTTATCGATGTAAACATTAGCTAACCTCCTAACCAAATCCTCATCTAAAGAAATCCCAAACCTTACAATCTTTTCATACGTATCCTCCATTTTTTCCAATACACCAAACTCTGCGTAAGCTTCAAGCATTGACACCAATGTACAAGGCTTCAGAGTCATCTTCCTCGACATCAAGCTCTGATACATTTGCTCCATCCTCTTAAGCAACCCTCCTCGTGCAAACTCGCGTATGAGTAAGTTATAAGTGACATGGTCACGCACACAACCATCAGATTCCATTCTCTTGATGCACTGAACAATCTCATCGTACTTTTGCCATTTACCGTATGCTTCAATCAATCCGTCGTATGTCTCGGTAATAGGTAAGAGATCGTTCTCTTTCATCTGATTCAAGTAGAACATAGCTTCTTCAAACTTCCCGTCATTAGCATAACCATGAATGATCGAATTGTAGATTTCCAAAGAAGGGATTAGCTCATGATCATCAAGCATACTTTGGAAAGCTCGAATTGCTTCATCCATCGATCTTTCTGCACTTAAGAACCTTATAATCTTCTCATAGTTAGCCTCGTTTATTCGCGAACGGTCTAGATTCTTCCACGCATCAAAAACCTGAAATTGAAAACAAAAAGAAAAAACTCATCTTGAAGTGGTTCGAACATTTCATGAATCTATTAGACAGATAGGAGATGAAACTTGAAATTACAGGAAGAATCTCGTGGGGTCTTGAGGAGTTACGGAGAAATCGAATCACTGCCCAGAATTGGTCTTTGCTCCAGTCTCCATCCTCTTGAAACAGCCGTAGAGGACATGAACCGGGAAGCTCGAGCCGTCGCAGTAATGAATTGAGAAACCGGTGGTGGTGATAGCTATCGGAGAGAAGAGAGGAGGATTGCGTCGCGTCTTCAGCGAAACCATCGAGAGAACACGGCAGAGAGCGGCGGAGAGAAGAGGATAAGGTGGTGACGAGTTTAGGTCTCGAGTTAATGGAAGTGAGAAATCTTGTGTTCGAGTTCCATAGCGGAGGAGGTAGCTTCTGTAACGTCGCGCCATGGAGAAATTGCGCCGTGAGATTCTCCATGGGATCAAAATCTCCAAATAAAAGTGTTTCAATAACTCTGTTATATAAAAACATATAGGCACATTTATAATAATATATTTTAAAATTCGTAAAACAAATTAAAAACGTAAAATAAAAATAAAATCAAATTACTTTTAAAAGTAAATTAGAAAAAATTATTCGATTGTATAATTTGCTTAATCTAATTAAAAAATATGAAAATACTTTTTTGTTTTTTTTTTCATCTAAAACCTTTAATTTATTTTTTTAAATTAATTTTCTTTTTTTTGATTAGTGATTGGGACATAAGTTGTGGGATACATATGGGGTATGTGTTTGTCTTGAGGTAAGAAACTAGTTTCTAGAAACTAGTCTTTAAATTTTATCATTTAGGGGATAAGCGACATACGGCTCTGGGGTGAAAGTCAAATGGGTTGCAAACATGGACAAACAAGTGAGCTGGACTTCTGGATAGATCGAAAATAGGTTTTTCTCCTGAAAGTTCTCTGTTGTTCAACTCAATGCACGCCCTACTGGAAACAATTATATAGGATGGTGAGTCTAGATGTGGTTTATGGGTTGAGTACCCCGTCCGAGAATTGTGGTACTTGACTGATATTTGGTGAAGAATAGTGTACAAGAGATAGGCTGTAAAAAGAGTGGAATATGAGCTCTCTCTCTGTGGAGGACAAGGGTGAGGACAATACGTATCTCTCTAGATGTCGCCATCAAAAAACGGTGAGCGCTCTTTTTTGGGTTCACTATATCTCAGAAGTCGGAGCGAACTCTAGCGAGACGGAGGTGTGAGATTTTCTCCTCCTCCTCCTTATTTTTTGGTGGTGGTGGTCGTTCTTCCTCGGATCCAGAATCGGGCCTCCAGTTAGAAAATCGGCCTTTCTTCTCTCTCTAGTCGGGCTGATTTCTTAACTCAAGATCCGATTCCGAATCCGAGGAAGGACGACCACCACCACCAAAAGATAAGGAGAAAGAGAGAAAAACCTCTGTATATTTTGAAATATTATTTTACAATAAAGTTTTACAAATAAAATTGACAAAACATTTAATTTACTTATATATTAATTTTTTGTTAAAATTTTAACTATAACCCAACTCAAATATAATTATTCTCCGCCTAATCATTAATAACGTTTATTCTCTATTTAATCATTAATTATTAAAATATGATTGATAATTAAAATTTTAGATTAGATTAATTGAAATATGTTTGATAATAAGTATATAATATTTAAATAAAGAAAAAATAATTATATATATTAACAAATGGAAAAACTATTTTAATTATTTTTTAGAAAAATATTAAAATACAACGGTATTTCATGAAATATAACTGTTGAGCCGACTTTTATCATACCCTATCGCTAAACAATATATCAATAGTAGGCTCAACTGAAATGATAAGCTCGGTGCCTAAGCCTACCTAGCGACTTTCTAGCCAACTGTTCCTGATAGTTGGCGGACTTCTCAATGCGCAAGCATACTATTGTAGCATATCCACTCCTTTACAATGCCTCTTAAATGGGACAGATCAGAAGAAAAGGTGTATAAAAGTAGAAAGCACGCATGTGAACATTTAGTTAGGGAATCGTTGGACAGGCCTAGACAACAAACTCATCATTACAATTAGAATTACTGTTGGCATGTCTCTTATTGATAGAACACGGTAAAAATAGATCCAACATTAAACAAAATAAAAGGTAGAAATGAAATAGATAACAATAGAAAAAAAATTGAGCAAATTATAAATATAGAAATTAAAAAGGAATAATAAAATAAGTAAACAATTTTGTGAGGAAAGAAAAAAAATGGATTTATAACTAATAAGAAAGAAGAATTTAAAAGTACAAGAATTGGATTCTGAATTTATATACAAATATGATCTAATATTTTTTTCTATTTTTTTAAATTATAAAACAGAGATCAAACTTCACATATACGCAGCGCTTAATCCAATTTAGATGTTGATTGATTCTCCCACTAACATCTGCAGCTTTTGCAACTGATAGCGATTGTTGACATTTGATAACAATCAAGAAAAACGCTTTCAACCACTTTTTCTCCTTTAAAATCAAAAGCTCATTCCCACTAACGTTTGCAGTTCCATGCAGTTGCGGTTGGACAAATAAAAAAGAAATTTTTATTTTATTAAAATCAAAAATATATAGTATTTTTTTAAATAAGTTTTAAATATTATAATTATAAAATATATGAAATTTTATGATACTTTTGAATTAATATTAATTAAAAATTTTATTGTATAAAATTAATATTCATTAATTATTTATCATAATTTTATATTTATAAAATCTTTAATCTAAAAATAATTAGATAATTTTTTTTTCACCACTAATATATATATCTAACAACTAAAATTATTTTCATATTTACAAAAATTAAATTTTCTTGAAAATTTTAATTTTTATTTAAACTAAAAGATATTTTAATACAATCTTAAATATTATGCATTTAACATTCTTAGAGTTTTTTTATTATTAATTATATTAAATGTTCTCATAATAATATATTTTTGATGTTTTTAATCATATAATATATTTATATTGTTATTTTGTTATGTAAGTGCATCTGCACCCATTGGTTAACCAGTCAAAAATGTTCTGCAAATTTTCATATTCTCAATCGCTGTACCAATTATACAAACCGCTGGTTAACGTTGTAGACTGCAATCGCATACGTCGGCATCTGCAATCGCAACTGCTAAGTTTAAAACAGTCAGACCCTTAATACTAGTTTATCCTCGTTCAAAAACTCAGCCAAGTTGTTCAAAAACTTGGCCGAGAAATGGCAAGTTGGTGCTGATAACGCGTTTCGTCCGCCGCGTACATAGAAATCAAAAAATTGGCGCTTTATTGGGTTAAATAGCTTTACCCAAAATCAAAAGTTGTTACAAAATTTGGTCCATTTTGCATGAGCCCTTCAAAGCCCAACTGCCATCCCCAGAGAAAGAGAATTGAGGATTTTTCTTGACATTGAAACCTTAATTGAGATAATTAGACTCAAGAGTAAATCGACTCCAAATCACACTGAATTGAGTTCGCCCATCATTTGCCTTCATTATTGAAGCGAGTTTGAGGTATGAGTCTATCAAATTTTTTCTGTGTTATTTCCTTATTAAAATTTGATTTGCAATTTTGTATAAACTGGTGAAGAATCTTTTGGTTGGCTTTGTTTGATGATATTTGTGCGTTTGTGAAAACGTTATAGCAGCAGATGCTGTTTATAAGTTATCCCTTGCAACGGAACTTCATTCATAACCATACAAACTTGCATGGATACAACAAGGAACAGATGATAGGGTCTAAGTTTTACCCACTTTTAGTATACAGCAAGTGCATAACAATGCAGTTGTAGCATAAGGGGTTATCGAATCCCAAGGTAAACTTACTACACTAGCGATTATAGATTCGGATTAAGCTAAACAGTAATGAGTGGATGTAATACGAAGTAACTAAAATAATGAAAGCAGGCGATTTGTTGATTGATCTAAGGTTCAGAAAGCTAAAGGCGCTAAGTCAGGACAATTCACAGGTTGAATCCAAGAATGTAGGATGCATGCAATCATGAATGATTTAAAACCGTCTAGAACTTGAAACACTGATTTAAAACTAATCAACTCTTATTGCAGAAGTTATCTGTGCCTAAATCACAGAATTTCAAATCTCTTTGCAAATTCTAACAATCTATACATGCAGTAATGATCAGGTTCAATTGTTCACAAAACTCCTAAGTCAAATCTCTTTGCAAATAGGCGTTTTGCTAATCTAATACTAGTTCAGGTGATAAACAATGTTCTCACATCTATTAAACAACCTAGAGTTTTGAAATCTAGATGATTAATCTCACAAATCGATATGAATGCAAAAACAGATGAAGAACCAATAGATTTTCCTAACAGTTTTGCGATTCTACAAACTCTTCATCAACCTTTGAATGATCCTAACTTAACTAACAGATTACTCAGACATGATTATGAAAACACAAATCATAACTGAACAAAAATGCATTAAAAGATTAGAGTATAAGATAAAGGGGTTCGAAATCCTCTGTAAAAGAGTACAGGATCTATCTCTCCAAAAGCTCTGAATAAATCTCTCTCTAAAGCTCTATGAATTCTAAGATCAAAGATCAAAGCCAACAATGGCTGAAAACCTAATATATACAAGCTAAAACACGAGCTGGGACACTTTTGTAAATAATGGAACCTCTGGGCCAAAGTGCAATATCTTCTCCATCTTTCAAGTAAACGTCGCGACTCCCTTCAGATGCGGGTGACGCTCGTCACCAATGCCATGTAACGCCTTCTGAGTTGCTAACTTCGGGGTTGATTCTTGCAATGATCCAGAAAGCTCCAAACCTCCAATTATGCTCCAGTCATGCTATAATCTGCAAAGACTACTAGGAATCTAAAAAGACCAAAAAGACTCAATAAAAAGGACATATACTATTGTTAAAAACCATAAAAACCATGATATATCAATTCCCCTAGACTTAGCTTTTGCTTGCCCTTAAGCAAACATCAGACAAAGAACAGAGTCGAGGTTTAAAAACAGAAATTGTCAGCTAAACATTAGGAACACCACATTGATCAACACTTTCGAATCCACACACCACAGAGCCAACACAAGATCAAATTTCAGTCTACTTATCATAAGCTTAGCAATCTATCAAATCCAGTTCAAGCCCCTTCAAGAAATCCAGAATCTCTACTGCTAACTCTTTTTATTTATCTAAGTGTGATATCTCATCAAGGATTTATCAACTCAATCATTATAGCTTCTTTTCCCTTCCTTAACACTGAAAATATCAATCTCAACATAGCTCTCCTATTTTCTCTTCCCTTGATCTGATTTTTTGATTTATTTTTTTATTTTTTAACTTCTTTTCTCATTTTTTTACAGTCTAAGATATTGTGCTACTCAATACTTGTGTTCTTTGTGAGGAGACAGGTGATATATCATGGTTTTTATGATTTTTAACCATGATAT